GGAGGGAGGGAATGAGAGGGAAAGAGGGAGCAGCTGACGCTACACAAAGGAGACACGCGCATACTATGTGATGTGGAAGAAATAGCGGTATTGTCACAACATTATAGACCATGATGATGACAATTTGCCTCGTGAAGGTTAAAATGTGTTTGTGACTTTAAGTATCACTATCTCACAATACTGTGAAATTTATGTAATCACTTAATCTCAATAAACAAATTATTAAAAAAAAATCTGGCCTGGCACAGGTGGCTCATACCTGTGAGCCTAGCTACTCAGGTGGCTGAGATTTGAGGATCCTGGGTCAAAGCCAGCCTTGGCAGGAAAGACGAGACTCTTTTTTTTTTTTTTTTTTTTTTTTTGGGTCCGGTCATGGGGCCTGAACTCTGGGCCTGGGTGCTGTCCCTCAGCTCTTCAGCTCAAGGCTAGCGCTCTACCACTTGAGCCACAGAGCCACTTCCGGCTTTTTTCTTTTTGCTTATGTGGTACTGAGGAATCAAACCCAGGGCCTCATGAATGCAAGGCAAGCGCTCTACCACTGAGCCACCTTCCCAGCCCCAGAAGACAAGACTCTTATCTCCAATTAACCACCAAAAAATTGGAAGCGGAACTGTGGCTCAAGTGGTAGAGTGCCAGCCTTGAAGAAAAGAAGTTCAGGGACAGTGCCCAGGCAGAGTTCAAGCCCCAGGACTGGCACACAAAGATCTGAAGCCCAGCAGAAACTCTTGGCTGGTCCCAGGCTCCTGGCACCCTGGTGTGTGTGCTGTGTGTGGATATTCGTCGCCTTGGCACAGCCCCCAGGCCTCCCCCCAGGCCTGCTCAGGGTATGGACTGGGCCATCCTGACCTGAGGCCGGGCGCATGGCTTTGCAAGGGTCCTCCTCTTCAATACCAGCCACTGCAGTCATGGTGCGGGAGATGTCAAGACATGTTGCTGGGCAGCATTATCCTCTCTCCTGGGCCCCAGAAAGCAAGGAGCTGCCTGTGAGGGGGTGCACACAACGTGCTGGAGACAAGAGTGGCCTGCAGGGCCAAGGCCGGGCGAGCTGGACACACTGGTCCTGGGAGAGCACTGGCGCCGGGGCACCGGGTGCCCTGTCCTGATACGGGCAGCCCTGCCTGGAGTGCAGGCTGAGTTGCCCTCCCGTGGCTTCCGACAGAGTGCAGGAGTCCTGGATTACGTTTCTAAGAGGTGGGCTGCCCATGGGGTGGGGGGGGAGGAGCGGCTGGTGTGGCAGGTGTGCCACACACAGGCCCCATGGGAAGAAGAGCAGTGGGGCTGGCCAGGCAGGTCAGATCAGGGGGATCTGCTGGGGTGGCCACCATGTCCACCTGGGCCTTGAACTTGGCCTGGATGCGAGCCTCTCTGTGTGCAAGGCTGGCACTCTACCACTTGAGCTACAGTGCCACTTCTGGCTTTTTTTTTGTCAGTCATGTGGCCTGAGCTCTAGGCCTGGGCACTGTCCCTCAGCTCTTCAGCTCAAGGCTAGTGCACTACCATTTGAGCCATGGCACCACTTCTGGCCTTTTCTGCTTATGTGGTGCTGAGGAATGGAACCCAGAGCCTCATGCATGTGAGGCAAACACTCTACCACTAAGCTACCTTCCCAGCCCAAACAAGGTGAGGGATTTTATTTTTTGCCAGCCATGGGACTTGAACTCTGGGCCTGGGCACTGTCCATGAGCTCTTCAGCTCAAGGCTGGTGCTCTACCACTTGAGCCACAGAGCCACTTCTCAACTTCTGGCTTTTTCTGAGTAGTTTATTGGAGATAAGAGTCTCAGACTTTTCCTTCCTGGGCTAGCTGTGAACCTTGATCCTCAGATCTCAGCCTCCTGAGTAGCTGGGATTACAGGTGTGAGCCACCAGCACCTGGCTAGATGGAGTATTCCAGACACAATTCTTGGTTCTTATTTTTAGTTCTTTGGTAGGAACCAAAACCACAAATGGCTGAGTGCTCTTGATTCCACACTGAAGGCAGTCAGCCTGAGGGCAGGGGAGGGAGGAGGGAGAGTAGAAGGAGGGGAGGACAGGGTGAGGGAGGGCAGAAGGGCAGGAGGGGAGGGTGGAGTGAGAGAGGGCAGGAGGAGGGGAGGGCAGGAGGGGGCAGGTTGAGGGAGAGGAGGAAGGGAGGGAGGGAGGAAGGCGGGTCTGCACTGTTGTCAGGCTGGAGGGGGCATGGGCTGTCTGAGGTCGGGCTGGGGCCCTGGCGTTTCTCACCGCACGCTGTGGGGATGGGCCTCATGGAACTGGGTGCAGCACAACAGGAAGGGTGGGGCAGGCTGAGGAAGCCTTGTGTAGTGGGGCTGGGAGCTGGCTCAGCGCCCGGCCTGGAGGCAGCCGCAGTGAGGCGCCGTCCCGACCAGGGCTGGGTGGGCACCTCAGGAACGCAGGTCAGGGCTGGACAATGCAGTCTGGGGCCTGGTCACCCTGGCCTGGCTCAAGGACACTGGCGAGGAAGGGTGTGGTCCTGTGTGGGCGTGGCCCTCCACCAAGGCGGGGCCCCTTGGCCTCTGCCACCCTGTCTGCCCTGGGGCAGCGCGGCTCTACCCCTCCTCCTTCACTCGGGCAGTCTCTGCCCTCTCTGCTCCTAGGATGCTTGGTCCTTCTCTAGAGACAGCCCTGGTGCCCAGGGCACTGGTGCCCTGTGAGCATGGGCGTGGGGCTCCAGGGTGGTGGTCTCCGGCCGTGCAGGAGGCTGGGAGGGTGGTGGTCTCAGGGGCCGGGAGGGTGGTGGTCAGAGGCCGGGAGGGTGGTGGTCTCAGGCCGTGCAGGAGGCCGGGAGGGTGGTGGTCTCAGAGGCCGTGCAGGAGGCCGGGAGGGTGGTGGTCTCAGAGGCCGTGCAGGAGGCCGGGAGGGTGGTGGTCTCAGAGGCTGTGCAGGGGGCCGGGAGGGGTGCAGAACTGTCTGGACAGTTCTATCCCACTCACTTCTGTTGTTCTCCATCCAGGATGGAGAAAAAGGGGGGGAGGGCATCTGGGGTGCACAGACTGGCAGCCTGTGGCCAGGGTGTAGAACCAACCTGCATTCTAATTGAACTGGTCCAAATGCCTGCTACCCTGTCAGATCCCTCCTCTCCAAAGCAGGCAGGACACCTGACAGCTGTGACAATTAAATGTAATGGCTGGGCGTGTGGTTTAGTGGTAAAGTGCTTGCCTAGTATGAGCAAAATTCTGGATTCCATGCCCAGTGGTGTAAAAATAAAACAAACAGAAGCATGTTAACACATTGAGAAGGACTAAAAGATGACCCTTTTTTGGTATTCACAAACAATAAGGTCCTTGATGTTTTTGTGCAGAAGTTCTTCCATATGCTTTATTTCTTTTCTCAGGGGAAATTCCTAAACGTGAAATGCTCAAAAAGTATTCGCTGGGCTGGAAGGGCGGCTCTAGCTGCCTCATGCCGCCTAGCAGCGCAAGGCCCCGAGATCCATTCCAAAAACAAGTGGCACATATTCACAATCTGAGAGTTCTAGTGAGATTCTTCCCCTGCCTTGTTTCTGAAGGTGGACTGCCAGTTTGACAGATGTCAGAGTTGTTTTACTGGGGCTTAAACTGAGTTTTGCAATCACTTGATTCCTGGTTCAAGGATGGCCCCTTACTTCTGGCTTTTTTCTTTGAATCGAACCCAGGGCCTCAAGCATGCAAGGCAAGCGCTCTACCACTGAGCCACCTTCCCAGCCCCCAAATTAGGTTATTTGTTGACACCTGTAGTTGTGGGGGTAGGGAAGGAAGGGATTGTAGGGGAAAAACAAAGGAGAAGGTAACAATGCTTGATAGGAAATGTACTCGTTACCTTGCTCATGTAACTCTAACCCCTCTGTATAGTATTTTTACAATAAAAAGTGTATTAAAAATCACATTCACTCACATCAGTGTTACACAACCATGGCCAAACCCACAAACCTTGCCCTTTCAGCAAGTGTCTCGGGCCCTCCTGCCACCTCAGTCATGGAGCTCAGAAATGAAGGCTTGCTTCATCGAGTGAGCTTTAGTGCTAGATCTATGGATCAGTCACAAATCAAGCCCAAACTGAATGGTGTAAAACCTTTCCTGTGTTCCTGGGGATGAAGCTGCAGAGCCTTCAAGGCCCTGGGATGATCCCCAGAGGGCCCCACCGCGGCCACACACGCACACAGGGGCTGTGTAGTACAGCATGGGGTGCTGAGCCATCTTGTTTATCCGTGCCTCCGTGCGTGAACATTGGGGTTGCTCCCATTCGCTGCTGTTTACGAGTGTGAACGGGCTTTCCCTTCGTTGGGGCATACACCTGCTCGCGGACTGCAGGGTGGTACCGTCATTGCCGAACTGCCTGGGGCTCCTCCGGGGCGGAGCCTCCCCCGCCGGCGCTCGACGCTTACGCCACGCCTCCATCCCCACTTTCGTTAGTTCTCTTTTGTCGGTCGTGGGCTTGAACTCGGGGCCTGGGCGCTGTCCCCGCGCTCTTCACAGCGCCACTTCCGGTTTTCTAGTGGTTAACTGGAGATAAGTCCCTCGGCTCTCCTGCCCGGGCTGGCTCTGAACCGCGATCCTCAGGTCTCAGCCTCCTGAGGGGCCGGGATGACCGGCGCGAGCCGCGGCGCCCGGCACTGACGTCAGCTTTGACTCCAGTCTCCAGCGCAAGCCCGTCTTCCTCGACTTCACAGGGCCCTGAACGTCTCCGACTGTCTCTTCGGAGGCAGGCGCGTCCACGGGGTTTTCCGGGTCCGGGACGCCGCAGGCGAACCCGGTCTCCGCAGCGGGGTCTCCGCAGCGGGGCCGCCGGCGCGCGTCGCACGGCGAGAGCCGCGACTGCGGGGCCACCACTTCCGGGGGCCACTGCTTCCGGGCGACGCCTGGTGACGTCACCGCCGCCGCTCGTTCTGCGCACGCGCGCCGCCGCGTTGCCGGGGCGACGCGCGGCCCCGCGGCCCGCGTCTGTGGGAAGCGGTTCGGGCGCCGCCCCGGCTCTCGGCTGTTGCAGCCCCGCCTGCTGGGGGCCGTCGCGCAGTAATGACGTCGCGGGAGCCCGGCCCGGCGCTGCGGACTCCGGAGATGGAGGAGAAGGAGCAGCTGCGGCGGCAGATCCGCCTGCTGCAGGGTGAGGCGGCCGCGGCCGGGGCGCGGGGACCCCGCCCGCCCCCGCCCTCCCTCCGCCGCCGGCTCTCCCGGCCGCGTCCCTGCCGCGCTCGCTCGCGGCCGCCCGGCCGTGGGCTCCGGCGGGCGTCGGGGCGGCCGGGTGGAGTGGGGCCCGCGGCGTCTGGGGCCCGGCCGGACCCGGGCTCCGGCGGCGACCCCGTCGGCTTTCGGGAGGGGCCGGCGGGCGGGCGCGCTCCCCCGCGGGCGGTGCGTCCGCGGGCGCCGGTCCTCGCCCGGCTGGTGCGACCCCGCCGGCCCCGGCGGGCAGTCTCCTCCGACCCCCGGCCGACGCCGGGCTCCGCTTCCCGCTAGTGGTTTTGGGCGCTAAGGACGAGGCAGAAATCCTTGGAAGTTATTTTCACCGAGAGAAGACTCGGGGACCTGGGACGCGCGCGGAGAGCCCCGTGCCCCCGGCCCTGTAGGAGCAGGCCCCGCGGCGTCCTGCCTGCTTACCGGCTTGGAGGCCGGCGCCCGAGCCGCCGCTGTGGGGATGTCAGGCCCCTCCTCTTCTCTTCTGTAGGAGATGGTGTCATGCCTGGCGTTTCGCCAGCCTGTGTGTAAATTCTTCTTTCTTCTTTGCCACGTGCCAAGTGCCATGGGTGTCAGTTCTGTGACACTTGGTGGCGAGTACTGAGGTTCAGTTCTGTGTCCCTCCCAGCAGTGGGCAAGGTAGAAGGGCTCTGTGGTCCACTTGTTCCTCTTGCTCAGACATCCCTGGTCTGTGCATATGGTGTGATACTTGCCCTCAAAGCATTGTGGGCCCAGTACATCCCCAGGTAGAAACTGTCATACCGCAGGGCTGCATCTTCAGGAAAAGCAGATAGAAATAGGATTGGAGTAGGAAGGATGGGGAAAAGGTATCTGGAATCGACAGGCCAAGGGTTTGGGCTGAAACTGTCAGTGGTTCCTAGGGCTGGAGGCTGCTCTCTGAAGCAAGCAGGGCTCGTGTAGATGATAGGGTCTGGGTGGGGGTGTCTTGCCAGCTGATGCTCTTCCGGAGGGTCCCTTCAATAGCAGTTGCTGTGTGTGCGCGCGTGAGCGCATACTGGTGCTTAAACTCAGGGATTTGAGTTTGCTAAGCCAGCGCTCAATCAGTTGTCCTCAGTCTTGAACTCAGGGCCTGGATGCTGCCTCTGAGTTTTTTTTGCTCAAGCTACACTCTACCCACAGATGGGTTTTTGGTGGTTAATTGGAGATAAGAGTCTCAATTTCTTGCCCAGGCTGGCTTCAAATAGAAATCCTCTGATTTTTAGCCTCCTGAGTATCAGGTAGGATTACAAGTGTGAGGTAGTGGTGCCTGGCTGATTATTGTTATTTTGATTTATACCTTCTGGTTAATGGCGCCTGCGATTATGTCTTTTCAGGTCTAATCGATGACTACAAGAACCTCCATGGCAATGTCCCTGCCCCGGGCACCTCAGCGGCCTCCCGGTGGCAACCACCCACTTATCACAGTGGCAGAGTTTTTGGCGCCCGCTATCGTTCAGGCCGGAGGGCCTTCTCCTCCCACAATGGGCCTTCATGGCGCAAGAAATACTCTCTTGTGAACCGGCCCCCTAGAACATCTGACACAGCTGGTGACCGTGCTGTGCCCACGCTGCTTGGAGCTGGAGGAAGCCAAGGCCCTGACCCCCAGCAGTATGTTTTTGAGAGACAGGTCCAGCTCAATCCAGATCAGAACATGATCATCAAAATCAAGCCACCATCGAAGTCCAGCTCCATGGGTGCTCCAGGAGCCCAGCGGGGCTCTTTGGAAGAGTATTGTGACCTGTCCTGGAGTGACCAAAGACCCCAAGAAGGTGAAGGTGAGCCCCCTGGTGGGCAGCTGCCGACCTCAAGGCCAGGAAATGCCAGGGGAAGCTACAGTGCAGAGGAACCCCTTCTGGTCTGCCAGAAGGAGCCTGGCAAGAACCGGATAGTGAGGTCTGTGGGCAGCAGGAGTGGCAGTCCCCCAGAGCCCCGGCGGACAGTCAGCGAGAGTGAACTTTCTGTCAAAGGCCATTTCCCATCCTCCACGCTTGCCCACAGGGCAGCTCCTGCTTCTGCTGCCGGCAGCTGTGCCATGCGCTCTCTTGATGAGCGGGGAGAGAATTCCGGCCTCCCAGATGAGCCAGCCCCCTCAGGCTCAGTGGGGAGCCTGACAAGACCAGTTTCAGGGGCCAGGCAGGCCCGGGAGGCCTCTCTGCTTGCATCTGGTAGAAGCAACAAGTTCCGGAAAAACAACTACAAATGGGTGGCTGCCTCAGCGAAGAGCCCCAGGGCCGCTCGGCGGTCTCTCAGTCCCAGGACAACGGCGGACAGTACGAGCAGGGCTCCCTCTGGTATCGCTGGAAAAGCCGAAAAGCCGCAAGCCAAAGCTGACCCAGAGGCCAGGTCCCGGAAGCTGTCTGTGTCCTCCAAGCCCGGGGCCTCCCATAGCAAGTACAAGTGGAAGGCCTCCAGCCCCTCTGCTACCGCCTCCTCCTCCTTCTGCTGGCAGCCAGAGGGTGGCAGCAAGGACCACACCACCCAGCTTTCCCCAGTCCCATCGAGATCTCCATCAGAAGACAGATCAGCAGGGGGAGCCGGGAGCCTGAAGCCTCTCTTTGGAGATGGCTCAGCATACAAAGTGAAGAGCCGCACTAAGATCATCCGGAGGCGGGGCAGTGCCAGGTGTGCATCTCCATGGCTGCGACGCCCTGTGGGCGCGGGGTGGGCAGGAGCTGCTAAGGTCACTGCCCTGGCGTATGCTCCCGCCTCCGTCTGTGTGCCTCCATCTGCTGCCCGCCTGGGAGGACAGGAAGGAGCACGGTGACCCTCCCCAGAGCCGCTGGCGGGTTGAGCTAGAAACTTCCATTATGGTTCACATTTGTAGCAGGAGCGAGGTTAGAGGTACTGTTGTTTGTTTAAAGGTGGTTAAACTAGAGCTCATGGTGGCTCAGAGGCCTGCTCGGGATTCTGGCCGGGCAAGCTGAGGACCCGGGCAGGGCCTTGCTGCAGGGCCGCCCTTCCTCTTGTTGTGGAAAGGCCAGGCAGTTTTCTTTCTTGGCCTGTGGAGTTAAGGACAGGCGTGCTGGTCTAGACGTGGAGGAGCAGCCTGGTGGGTCTTCCCAGCGTGCATCAGGAGGGGGCGGTACTGCCTAGGGCTCCTGGGCTTTCCTGCGCTGCTCTTGGCTCTAGGAGACCCGGCCTTGGGCATCCCACCCTGCTCGGGTGGAAGTTTGCTCTAGTTGTGCTGTGGTGGCCAGTTGTGGTTGGGGCTGGTGCGCTGCGGTCTCCAGGGCTTTCCAGATTTCGGGCTCTCTAGCTACCTTGGAAGAATGCTGGGGTGGCTGGGGGTCACCCTCAGAGCAAGCAGAGTGGTAAATCCCAACCTGTGTGGTGGCCAGGTGCTCAGTCCCTCGCTGCTGTAGGAGGGCATGTCACTTTCCTCGCTCTCCACGCCAAGGTTGTGGGTAGCAGCGTAGCCCCAGGTTTGGTCATTACTGAAGGTAGGGTGGCAGCTGCCCTTGCTGGCTGAAGCCCAGCTTCCCCTGCTGTCCTGAGCTGGTCCACTCCCCGGCTGCGAGAGGCCGCTTTGCTCTGATAGCTGGTGGGAGCTGGGAAACAGGCCTGCAGGTGTGGTACCAGCCCCCTCTCGGGGGCCACACCATCTCCTCCCCTAGCCTGGTGCAGAGACTCACAGGGATTGGGGAAATAAGAGTGTAGACCCACTGGGAGGGGCCCCTCTCCTTGGCTGTCCCTGGGGACAGCGGTGGCTTGCACTGGCTAAAGTGCCGCTGGGATTGCACCCCAGCCCAGCTGTGGAGAGAGAGAAGCAGCAGCCAGCTGACATTGCCCGGCAGGATGGGGTTGGGCCCTGCAGGGCCCCGGCTGGCCTCTGGTTGCATTCCCATACCCTGACCCTCGGGCCTCTTGGTAGCGGCATGTGTTTTGTCTCCATAGCCTTCCTGGGGACAAGAAGAACACTCCCTCGCTTGCCACCACCACCAGGAGCCATTTCAATCTGCGACGGAGACAGGTCCTCCGGGGGAAGACCAGCCCTGTTCTGAAGAAGACCCCCAACAAGGGCCTGTTGCAGGTCACCAAGCACCGGCTGTGCCGCTTGCCGCAGAGCCGGGAACACCTCTCCACCAAGGAAGGTATGCCAGGACGGCTCCCACAGTCTGGAAATGGCCGGCTTGACCGGCTCAGAACTGTGTTTACTGTCTTCTCTGATCAGATGGGCCTGGCCCCAGAGGGCTCTGTTGGGCAGCGGGTGGCTGGACTGATGGGTGCAGACAGAGGCCATATATATTGTCCCATGTGTTGGTGGAAGCTGGGTGGCTAGGAAGGTGACTGGTGGCCTCTTCTGTCCACTCCTCAGTATGTATCACTGTATGTATCCCACCTTTGGGGGGGGTTGAGGATGGTGGCACCCAGTGCTTCCAGCCCCTCGAGAGCTCCTATCCTGAGCCGGCCTGGGGCCGCAGGACTCCTCTTCCTGTCCCAGGCCAGTCTGGTGGGAATTCAGTGGCACTCACCTGAGTGGCCGGACACCTACGTGACGCCCGAGAGCCTACAGATACGGGTGTGCATGGTCCCTGGTGATCTGCGCCCCGCCAGGAGGAGCCGGCACCAGAGCCTGCCCAGGATGGTGTGCTTGGGGATAGCCCTCATCTGGTGTTGCTGCGGGGAGTGGTTTGTCTGGTGCGTCCAGTCCTGTGGGTCTCCTTGCTCTCCCTTGGCATGCCTGGGCACATGTGGGCAGGTGGAGAGGGACTAGCAGGCCTGGATTTGGGCAGTCCTAAGTGGGCGTCGACATTGGCGACTGTGTGCTGGGGGGTGGCGTGTGGGGACTGTTGCTGGGGACAAGACCATCTGGAGAAGACTTAGAGAGGAGCAGCTCTGAGCAGAGCCAAGAGCCTGTATGGGTTTGGCCACAGGAGAGAGGGTGTGGAGCCTGGGCAGAGGGCTGGAGGGGCTCTGCAGCTGTGCTTGTGGCCAAGAAGGTGTGAGGAAGTGAGGCTGGAGGTACTGGCTGCCAGGCCACGGGTCTGGCTGTGTGCAGAGGCCAGTGTAGTCTTCCTATGAGACGGAGCATGGGATGCGGAGCAGGGGCCTGGGGTCTGTGGTGAGGGAATGTAGACAGAAGGCTGAGCTGGACAGTGTACCTGTGCCCTGTGGCCAAGGAGGACAGGTGGAGGAGGCAGAGGTAAGGGCCTGCTGGTGAGGCTGGCAGGATGAACAAAGAGCTGTGGAGACTGTTGCTGGATTCTCCCAAGTTTTGCCTGTGCCGAGGCTGGCCTGTGTCCTCTGTCGGCCCAGGGCAGGGTAGGGTGCCGGCTGGCTCCCACGGTAGCCCTGAGCCCCACAGAGAGCAGCCAGGCAGGCAGCAAGGGGTCCTGATACCACATCTACCTGCGGGCACTGCATGGCCTTGAGTTGGCTGCCAACCGGGGTGGAAGGAAGGCCTCATAGCCATATGTTGTCCATGGCCGGCGAAGTGGAGGGGCCAGTGGTGGGCACTAGGCTGTAAGGAAGAGGGGTTGGTTGTGGTTCTCGGAGGGGCTGGGCCTGTCACTGTTCAGGAGCGTCAGGTGGCAGTGTTGGGCTGTGAGTGCCCAGCAGGCAGCGAATCAGGAGGGCCTGCGCACGAGGTGGTGCTGCCACGGCAGGCGTGGTCCTTACCCTGCAGCAGGCGGGAGCCTGTGGGAGGTGCGCACAGGTGTCAGGCAGCGCTCGGGCAGGCAGAGGCCGGGGCAGCCTGGCTGGGGCGTCGGCTGGGGACAAGAAATTCCCTGTACGAGGCTCCATCTTCCCTGCTTGCCCAAGAGCTGAGGCCTGTGAGTCCTGGGTCCTAGTCGGGCTGCTGTGGGTTTGGGGCTGGGATGTGCCAGGGTGCCAAAGCTCTGCCTCCAGGAGGGATGGCCTCCGAACACGGGTGGTAAGGCTGCCCCTTCATCTGGCCGCATGGAGCCTTCTCTTACCCCGTGGTTTTGCAGAACATGCTTACCTTCAGCTCTAACTCTCCTTTTGGAAGGGTCATCAGTTCCTAGGTATCCAGGGAGGAACCTGGCTGCCAAGTGAGCTCCAGGCTGGGGAGGGCGGGAAAGGGAAGGTAGCCTTGGCCGCTGTGGGACAGCCTCAGTCCTGCTGTTTGGCCCAGCTTCCAGCAGAGGGCACCCTTGTTCCTCTTATTCCTTCATCCACCTTTTTCTGGTAATTGATTGCCTAATTTCCTCTTTATGTGAAAGAAAGCAGATATCAAGTAATTTGCAGCAATAACCTGCTAATGCTGGGCCAGTATCGAAACTCCCCTGTTCATTTCAAGTGGCAGATAAAACACTAATACATAATTATCCTTGCAAATTGGATTGTTTTAAATAACCAAAAGGCTACGGCCAGGAGAAAGCGATCCCATCTCCTCCGAGTTACTCTTGCAGCGTAATTGCCGCGTTCAATCAATTTCCCTGGCATTAGAAATTCCATCACAATCAACATTAAGCTTTATTCATTGTGATGGCTAAGAGCCGGGCCATTTCTCCTCTTTTTCTTAACTGGCAAAATTAATCAGGGAAAAGATTTTAAACATTTACCCGTGCGAAAGAGGTCAGCCCTGCCACTATATTGCTCAGCAGATAAGGGGGCTAATAAAAAGAAAATTGAATTACTAATGATCGCCAGGAACAGAGTATATAAAACCTGGCCATTGCCAGTTCAGGGGAAGGAGAATCAATTTTCTTGGGACAAGGTGCGCTCATTTTTTATTTTGGCGCATATTATCAGCAATTTAATTTGAGAGCACATAAACAGGAGGAAACAGTTAGGGAATAATGAGCCTGGAGGTGTAAAGTGCCGCAGGATATATGCTGTACACAATTTATTTGGCACAACAGATAATCGCTTTAATTGAATTCAAAACTGCATTGTTCAGCAGCCGCGGGCTGCTCCCGCCTGGGGACTCAGAGTGCGGGGAAAGTTCCCGCCCCAAGCTGCCTTCCCCCTGTCTAAGGCCCGGCTCTCCGGAGAGTGCGTCTTCCACCTGGAGTCAGACTTCGGCTGAGGAGCGGGCTGGGGGGCCCTTGTGGGTCCTCTCCCTGTTGTGCTGGTGTGTCTTCTCCCCCTTGGGATGGAGGACTGATGGAGGAGGGAGGGCGGGAGGCTGTGCACCCACGGAGGCTGTCCCCTGTGGAATGAGGCTGGAGCAGGCTTGTGGGCAGCAGAGATGGAGCCTTTAAGGCTCTCAAAAATGGGGTCCCACTTTCTGTCCATGTAATGCCAACGGTCAGTAGTCACAGCGTGACAGCTGCCCGTGGCATTCAGCTCCGGCCTTGTCCCAGGTCCAGTGTGATGCCCACCCCCCAGTCACCGCGCTGTGTCCCCGGCCCAGTGCTGAGGTGACGCGCCAGCTCTGCCCAGCTGCGTGCCAGCGCTGTGCCGCGCCCATCAGGCCCACTCTGCGCCGCTGCGCTCACCCCAAAGCCCCGTTTCCTAGTCAGCAGTCTCCTTGGGAGTGTCTGCTGCCCAGTGCTGGCAGGTCACCTCCCAGACAGCCTCGGGACGGGAGGCCCCGCGCTTCACCTGCGCAGGCTGAGGGATGTGTGGCCGTTGCCCACCCCCGTGGTAAACCGGGTCCTGTTTGGGAAGTGGCCTTCTGAGAAACGTGGTCATGGGGCCGGGAAGGTGGCTAAGGGGTAGATGCTGGCCCTGCATGCGCGAAGCCTGGGGTTCAGTTCCTCAGCCCCACATACACAGAAAGCGGGAGTGGCGCTGTGGCTCTGGTGGTAGAGCGCTTGCCTTGAGCAAAAGGAAGCTCAAGAACAGTGTCCAGGCCCTGAGTTCAGGTGCCAGAATGGCAGACACACATGCACGCACACACACACAGTTGTTATTTTGTGTGTGTGTTGGTACTGGGACTTGTACTCGGCCTCTTGTTCTTACTTGGCCCTTCCCACTCAGAGCTGGCACTCTACTGCTCTACCACTGGAGCCATACCTCTCTTCCCGCTTTTTGCTGGTTAATTGGAGATAAGAGTCTCACAGACTTTGTGCCGGGGTTGGCTTCCAAAGTTGATCCTCAGATCTCAGCCTCCTAAGCGGCTAGGATGACAGGTGTGAGCCATTGGGGCCTGGCTAGGGTCCTCCTTTTAGCCATTCAGAGGTTGTGGGGATGTTGCCCTGTTTTTTGGCAGCCCTCCCCCTTCTCCTGCAGAGGGCCCGGCCAGCCCTGGGGGTGGGGGTGCCTCCTTGGCCTCCTGAGGGGGGGGCAGAGCAGGAGGCGGCCTCAGGCATGGGGGTCTAGCTGGTGCTCCTCCTCCAGCCAGGCTTTGCCCTGAGCGCTCACAGGTGTGCTGGGCACCTGCCACGTGCTGGCCCTTGTGCCTCTGTGTCCTCCAACGGCCCCTCCCATCTTGTGGAAGCCTGTGACTTCCTAGGCCCACCTTCTCTCTGGCCAGGCCTGGCCCTTAAAGTCCTGCTTCTCTCTCAGGGCCTCACCTCTCTGGCCAGATTACTCTGGCCCACCCTCTAAAGGCCCCGCCCCTCTCTGCCAGGCCCCTCCTCTCCCTGATTAGGCCTGCCCCTCTCTGCCAGGCCCCTCCTCTCCCTGATTAGGCCCTGCCCCTCTCTGCCAGGCCCCTCCTCTCCCTGATTAGGCCTGCCCCTCTCTGCCAGGCCCCTCCTCTCCCTGATTAGGCCTGCCCCTCTCTGCCAGGCCCCTCCTCTCCCTGATTAGGCCTGCCCCTCTCTGCCAGGCCCCTCCTCTCCCTGATTAGGCCTGCCCCTCTCTGCCAGGCCCCTCCTCTCCCTGATTAGGCCCGCCCCTCTCTGCCAGGCCCCTCCTCTCCTTGATTAGGCCCTGCCCCTCTCTGCCAGGCCCCTCCTCTCCCTGATTAGGCCCGCCCCTCTCTGCCAGGCCCCTCCTCTCCCTGATTAGGCCCTGCCTTCCTGGGCCTCACTGTGGCAGAGCTGTGTGCTTGTCCACTTGTCAGTGCTGTTCCTCTGCGAGGCCACTCTTCTGTCAGGTGTTGGCTTGTTGCCCTGTTCACGTCTGTTGGGTGTCTGTCAGCCTCCCAGCTTCTCTCTTCTCGGGTTACCTTCAGGCTGCCCCTCACACCTTGGACAGTCCTACGTACTGCCTCATCTCTTCTTCCCCCTCTTCT